CGGCCGCCCAGGGCTGGGGGAGGCCGAGGGAGGGGTGAGTTATGTTAAATAAGCGGGGGGGGGTCTTGGTGGCAGGATTCAGGCCCCAGGCAGCCAGGCCGGAGCAGGGCTGCTGCTGCCAAGACCGTGGTGGGGTTAGGGTGGGGGCCCAGCCGTCGAGCCGCTCAGATGAGCTTGGCCCCCTCGGGCGTGGCTGTCCCGCGTCACCTCCCTCTTCTTCACCTGCAGGGGTCTTTTCAAGGCTCCGGCAGTGCTACCTCAGGGGCCAACGCGGGGTCCTCGAGGGCCTACCACGTGACAGCCCTCGCCACGTCCTCCTTGCTGGGTAGGTATGCCCTTCTGCTGCCCGGCCCGTTCCCGAGTGCATCCGCCACGGCTCAGCTAGCAGAAATGCTGCAGGGGACGCTCCTCCATCCGAGTGTTGCGGTCCCCTACAGCATTAACGAATCCTATCCCAAAAGCCTAATTAATGCATAATAAAACCCAGAGCCCGAGACGGCTGCACCGCATGCAGCCAGCGTGGCCCGACATCGATGTACCTGCTGTGGCTTTGGGGCGGGGGGGCGTCAGCAGCGCACGGAGCCAGGCCCTTTGGACCGGAGGCCACAGTGTTTGTGCCTGGGCGCGCATGGTGCGCCTCTTCCCAGAAGCCAACCCCAAACGAACAGCTTCCTGGGTCTTAGAGCAGCTGGACCAGGCAGCACAGCCCAGAGGAGTTTTGAGGCCGAGGACAGGCGGCGATTCCTCTGGGCTGCTTTAACCGGGATCCCTGCGGTGAGCAGAGGGGATGGACTAGATGGTCTCGAGACCCCCTGCGACCTTGAGGGCTCTCCCCTTCCACTGGGTTACTTCCGCAGACTTGACTTAGGCAACAATACGGGTGTGGTCAGCTAGATCGGCCTCCCCAAGAGGAGCCGCCTTTGGGAGGGGGCCGGGCTCCTTCGGCAAGAGAGGCTCGGAGCCAGCCGGGGAGGGCAGTCTGGCATGCCAGCCTTCCCTGGCCCCGAAGCCCCTCCGGTCACTCCCACCGCGGGTCTTCACAACTCCGCTGTGCTTTAGCATTCGGACAGCACGGAGATTAATGCATCTTGCGATGTTTGTTTCCATGGAAACCCTCCGCAGTTTTTCCAGCCGAGAACGCAGCAAGGCTGGCACGGCGGCATTTGTCCCCATGGCTCCCGCAGGTTCCCCCATCTGCTCCCGCCTGGGCTCAGCCCTGCTTCTCCTCTGTCCTCCAGGCCTCATCCAGACCATCAAGGACCACATCACCAAGCCCACCGCCATGGCCCAGGGACGCGTGGCCCACCTCATTGAGTGGAAGGGATGGAGCGCACCCCCGATGGGCTGGGGGCGGCCCCCCCCCGAAGAGGTGCTCTACGAGGAGCTGACTGACGAACGGAGGGAGGCTGGGTTTGCAGCAGGTGAGGGAGGGAGGGAGGGAGGGA